TCTGCGATCGTGAAGATTATTATCAGCGAGCACTCAAATATATGATAAGAAATACGAGGAAGATGTGGAACGTAAAACGTTTCTCTCATAATGTAACTAGCAGATGTATGTAATTTTGCGATCGTATATGTAGTTAGTTTTGCGGTAACAAGCTAATCAATTGATTAAATGGGTAACGTGGTACACAGGTATGTGTAACACGTGTTTCTTTATGGGATATGGATCGTTTCTAGAGAACGTGGAGAAAGCGCAGCCGTATACACTACACCGCGGCAGCAGATGCATTATTTTAGCGCTGCACTTAATCGACGATGGGTTTGCGCGAGCGAGTTAAAATTATAGTCTCGATAAGTAGAATAAGCGTGCATAGCAGGAGCCTGCAGCCTAGTAGGGAGCCTGTAGTACAGTTAGCAACGAAGTGTAACAGCGTGCAATTTTGACTGCGAGGCGCGTCATTCGTCGCGTTATAACTCATTAACTTTAATGATCCGCACGATTTGTTCCTTCTCATCGTTTCACTTCCAAGGCCTGGCATTTGGGGCGAGAAAGCATACGATGGAAACATACGGAGGACATGCCACGCATTGTCAACGCACCATCTGTCGCGGCAACAAGCGCCTGATTGATCTACGTTTAATCGATATGAAAGAGAATCTATCGGCGTCAGGAGACATACACGAGATCCACGCATATCAAATCGCACTTGTCGGTTCGATTCAAATTTTTCATCTTTGTTACGCGTCGACAAATAATCAATTTTCTACTCTGTACTAAATAAAAATAGAAATAAGAAAGAAATTGAGAATTATTAATTTATTATTTATTAATTTTTATTATTATAATCTAAAGTATGCGTCTATTTTTTTTTTGAAAGGAGCAAAAGAGTAAAAAAAATTATAGATAAAAACATTCTAAGAAGCCGTCTTTACTTTATAATCTCGCAATTAATCTTATTACAGTTGTAGTCGTAAGCTCATGGATATCCTTTTTGAGATATATTTCTGTTCGGCATCAAACTAGGTATGTAGGTCAAGGTTTCTTCTATCTTTACGAGAAGCACACAGGCTTAGCGCTTTTTTTATCTTTTTTTAAAAAGGTAAGTTTGTATATGGAATTTACGAAGAGATGTTTGGAACAAAATTTGGATTCACGTATGGTTATGTGATAAATACAAGAAATATTATATTTTATTCCTCCCGCAAATTATCTAATTATTATTATGTACGATGTTTTTTTTACGAAATTCATTTTCAGGTATTGTTGAAAATGGGACTCGTCGACTTTATCTCAACTGACTAGACTATTAAAAACTTTGTTTTTGAAAGCTGGACCAATTTTTTGGAACATTTTCATTTGGAACAAAATTTGGGACTTTGTCAAATTCACGTATGGTTTACATCTATGTTTAACGGCAACGAATTTGTTAACTAATAATAAGATTTTATTCGGATCGACAAGAATTAAACACTAAGTATAAGAATATTCAAGCCTATGACGGTCAAAGCTAGATCATTTTTGCCTAAACAATTCCAAGTGAATTATCTATATCCTATATATGTACATGTATTATTCACAGTACAAATAAGTACATGTAATTTTTGTATCTTATAATTAATCAGATTTTCAAAATCTTCGTATAAATCTTATTATATGTACTATTAGCATGTTCAATTTTCTAAACACCATATACATATTTACATTTATATATATATATATACATATACACACATACACAAGATATATGTATATTCGTGCATGCACTTAAATACGCAAATATTTAATTGCAAATTGCCCAATATATTTTTTTTAAGTATTAATTAGTATTGCATTAACAGATCGTGAATATATTTGTAACACCTGTTTCTTGTAGTCTTTTAATACATAATAAAATTTATCATTTTCATTAAAACAATTGATTGATTTGAAAAAGAATTATTTATTTGAATAAATTATTTTTGTCTGTTTTCTCTTTTTCAATGGGGAATATATGTATTTAAGTCAAATATGACATTATTAGATTAAATATATTGTCCAACAAAAGTTATAAAGACAAATAAATTATAGTTTAATCACATGAACGATTCGTTTTCAGTGGCAGGATAGAGGTTATAGAAAGTATTGGATAGCAATGAAATTCGAAGAATTCAAACAAACTCCTTCACACTCAAGACCAAAATTATAAGAATTCTTCGCTTCGGATCGAAATCTTCTGGATCAATATTTGTAAAGGAAATATTTCTCTGGAAATTTAAGATATATCCTTCAAAGTTTTAGTCAGCGCTACCTGAGAAATATGTTGAAAAATATTGTAGTTGATTTAAATCAGGTTAAATAAAAGCAGGAGTTTTATAAAAATATGATTTTATGTTGTCTATCTGTTTGTATATTATATTTCATAATATAAAAATGCTTTTTTAAATATATACGTACGATTTTTCTTGATCAAATTACGCAATTTGGAAGTTCATCCTACAATACTTACAACCAACATCGAAACTCGTAAGAAAAAATCGTAAGAAAATTTTTAAATAAGCACTTTGCAGATAAAGTTTTATACCGTTTCTGTAAAAGCATTAAATTTTTTTAGAAAAAATTCTTTATCGAGTTGTAAAATGTTGAATATATATAATTTTATCAAACATAACATTTTTGTTAAGATACAAAATTGTAAAGATAATCTATTTAGAAACGGCCAAAAATATCTCAATGTACATGTTTTTAAATTACAACTCACAAAGGACGTACTTGTATACACCTATCTACACCAAAAAAGAATTTCATTTGCGTTCGACTGCACTGGGTAAAATTTATTTTTTTCAATAACAACTTAGATTGTACTGAAAAAGAATTGTTCATTCGACTAAATTCTTTTAGATAGTTTTTATTTCTTTTAATAAAAAATGTATGTCACGAGGAACATGTACAGTTTAAGTATATACATACTTCGATCAAAGAAATAAAGACTAAATTAATAATCAAATAAAAAGTTTTTTTCCAGTGAAGGTTTATATACAACCCTGTATGCATTAACTAATTTCAATTGTATGGTATAACACACAGAGATTTTTGTCGAATACAGAAAATTTGATTTTGCTGGATTTTCAAAATTTTTATGTAGAAAGTCAAAAATAACCAGCAATGCAGCAAAACGTTGTAGCAATCAGCTTGACCGTCCTACAAAATTATTTTGATAGTCTAACAAATTTATTCTCAGATCTGTATCTAGATAAATTTTTAGATTCTTCAGTAAAATCGTTCTCTTCGTGTATATAATAAAAATAAACAAAATAAGCAATAATCTTGGATTAATAATAAAATACAGATTGATAAGAAAACATATAGGATATTACACGAATTTTTCAATATTATGTCGTGTTATATTACGAATACACAAAGCTTATTATAAATTGTCGACTTCAAGCCAATTTCTTTTTTAAAATAAACAATACATTTCAAATTGGATTGTAAATTTCAAAACGTTTACGATTTAACGAAATTATGTTTATCTACTGATGATGACCGCTATGATCCGTTTCGTAAATCATTGTTTTCTTGTTACATTTGAAGAAGCAGCGACAAAGCGTACCATACCGTTATTCGTATATGGTATAGGTACGACGGCAAAGACGTGTCTGCGACAGTGCTGTAACTAAGAGATTAAAGTCAGCAATCAAGCTATACTTTTGCATCGTAATTAGTAAGTACACAACACACATACTTGACATGCAAGCACACACATAATACCTGTTTTATTCTAATTTAAATGACCGAGAGACGAGCAAATAAGATGTTTAAATAAGTGCAACATTTAACGATTTAATAAAATAGTGAATATGATACAATAATGCATAAAACATTTTGGCTCACAGAGACTTCATTAATTCATGATTAAGCATATAAAAGAAAAAAAAAATATTACGAATTACAATATAAAGCTCTAAATAAATATAATTCAACTAGACTATTAAGGACTCACATGGAGGCTGAATCTATATCGTATTGATACTTAATAAAACATCCTCTTTAAATATTCCAAATTCGATCATTTCATTTTACATAACATATTTTAGTAGATACATTATATATAACAAATTATCGCATGTAAACCAATCATATACTATCGCTCAAAGGTTTGGAGAGTATTTCATAATTTTTAAATAAATCATTATCCTTTATCAATTATCTTATTTAAAAATATAAAATTTATTATTATTTTTAAACGTATATTATAACAATAATTTAAGATTAAGATAATATACATTTTAGTACATTTACAATGTTAATAAATAAATTAAATTTTCTTTCGAAATTTAGAAATACACCAAACTTCTTAGCAATAACGTACATATTGCAGTACAGCTAGGTAAGTATAATAAATCAGCAACTATCCCCCCAACTTTATAATATTTCAAACAGCTCGTTAATATCAACATTAGGTCAAACTCAGGTCAAACATTAAATTTACTATTATAATATGATAATTTGTAAACCATTACACGTAGCTTTCATTAAAAATTTAATAGTCTTGTGTTCCAGTTCTAATTTAGCATTATGGAAAATAGGCCAAATGGACATGCTTATACATGTAGCGTGCGTCCTTATCTTATCCATCCTTTGACGCCACTGAACCTCTCAGAAATCGCTGAAGGTATGTCTATACAATGTTAATTATTTAATTCACGAAACACATCGTATTTGATAAATGTGTTATCTGATAATAGTTCTGCAAAATGGAATGCAATCCCTGTTCCACGACGTGAGAGTCGACATAACTCGCTGCCCTTATTTAACTACAGCACCATATAATCTTGCCGGAGTAGGTAAGAAATCACAACAAAGCGTCTAATTTGTCATTAAATGGAGTATCTTTAAAAATGAATAATTTATACAGGATTATGTGGCAACACGGCGGTAGTAGAATTCCTTCGTCACGATCAAAATGTACCGTGGAATCGTAGAACAAAGGATATTCAACAGCTACTCACATGCAGCATCCGTGATTCCTTTATCATCGGATCTACTTACGCTACAAAACCAAACATGCCTTATTACGGACATGTATGTATTATCAATATTTTCACATTTTCATGACCTTATAGATAATACTATTATGACAATAAAAAGTTATGATAATATATCGTTGCTACATAATTGACGAGGTAACGATAAATAATTTACGAATCATATCAGCAAATGACCGTTGTCTTACCGCTGTTTCGTAATTCTATTCTATTGATTTAATACTATTCAATTTACTCTATTGAGCTTCAGTTATATTTTATCATACACACGACTTCTTTGACATTATTACTGTTTCTCATAAACCTGATAATTATTGTAGCTCATTATGAATGCAACGTACAAAGCACCTATGGGTATTAGGAACGAGAGTCGTCTTATTTTCGCAGAATTGCGTAATGGACAGACAAGAATAGAAAAGTTAACTGAACCTAATCAAATGATATACACCAACAAGGGCATATTTTTTGTCAGCGAGGGTAGGGAGGGCCTTGTTATCAGAGTGCGTGCCAAAGGTCGAAAGAAAAGTGATACAGACATCATAACTTCAATGCAAACGATCCTTTACGAACATTATAAAAGAGAGAGGAATAAAATTATTGGTAATTAGTAGTCTGGTGTATACAGTTGTAAAAGGACATATAAAGACAATCAGATAATTTTTTATGTCTGCCTTCAAAGCTTTAGGTGGTGTTCTAAAAATGACAAACGGAAGTGTGGCGTGTAACCTTATGTGGGATGAATATCAGGAGCCGATATCACCATTTCCCGATTTTGTTAGAGAACAACAATGTCCCGAGATATGTCTAGAGTCAGATATGGTAGCCGTTGGCACAATACTTAACAATGAGCCAAAATTGACTGAGGAACAGCGTTACGGTATTGTAAGTTATTTGTCCCAGTTATGCGGAGACTAAAAATCATTGATCTTGAAATTATCATATTATATTATTTATCATAGATAAATATCATTAGAGAGAAATTTAATTGTTTATTTAATAATTAATGCAATTACTTTTATCATTCAACTTCTGTCAAATTTTAATTTGCGATTATTAAGTTCAGTTAAAATAGAGGAACCTTTCTCAATTGTTTAATCATTGAACGCATCAGTTGCGTCTAAATACGAAAATTTAAACATATATAATATATATACCGAAGTAATGATATTCTTTAGTTGTTCGTTTTTCAGAATCTGTATGATAGAAGTGAGTTCCATTGTTTCTCTAATTATGGAGCAGGCGGAAACTTTATTAGCGATACTACTCCGGATACGACGAAATATGAAGGTTACTTCAATGTAGCGGCAAATATGTATTTAGTAGTGTAGATATATTATAACTAAATGCCATTTTAATCATAAACTGGGTCATTATGTTCACTCATATGTAAACAGAAATTTAAAAGCATAGAATCTTGTTACGTTTCCTTGAGAGAGAAACAATAATTTTGACAAAGTAAACTAAATTCATAATTTATGTATCATAAATTCATAATTTATATATCATAATTTGATATATAATTCATAATTTATATATAATAATTTGATATATAATTCATAATTTTATATCAAAAATTCATAATTTCTATATCATAAATTCATGATTTAATTACATTAATTAAGGTTGTGCTAAAGTTAAGAAAGTCATTTTAAAAAATAACTTGTTACGCGTTATGGTTTACTGAAGAATCGGATTATTTTATAAGCTTTTTTTGACGTAATTTTTGTAATATAATGAGGATTTTTAGTTCTAATATTCGAAAAACATTCTAACAACTAATCCCTTTGGATTTAAAGACATACAATCTTGCTACGTTTCCCTGAAACGAAAATCGATAAAGTACTAAATTCATAATTTATTATACATAGCATAAATTCATAATTCGAGTACTTTGAACTTAATTTAAATTCGAATATTTTTCAATATAACATGACAAGAATTCTTGTAGTACTAAGTAAAGTTCTGGAATAAATAACATAATTGACTCACTCTTCACGGATCGCTCAACGAATATGAATTGAGATCATAGTGTAACACTCGTAAAGAGAACTTTACTCTGGTTCATAAGACGAAATCAAATCGGTATCGATTGATTTTTCGGACCGTTTGATTTGATATCGACTAAATTTTCTACTGATTGCGTTAAAGTTACGAAAATCATTTTAAAAAGTGACTTGTTCTATTAGACGTTATGGCTAAAAAAGGTAATAAGTAACTTATAACGCATAGGTGAATTATTTTTTTCGTTACAAGTAACAAATAAAAGTAACGAGTTACAAATAAATAATTATTTGATTCGATAATGACTTTTCCAACCCGTTAGAAATAGTGTTTGACATTTGCAACTCTGGTGTTACCGTTACTGTCATAAAAACTTCGTAATATCATTATCAAATTGTTATTATATCAAAATAACGATAAAAGCTAATGCATACTTTCATTCTCTGCTTTTAAGTTATTTTCTCGTTTACCATTTCTCAGTATTATAATTTTATAATGCAAAGTTCACATTTATATAGAATGTGACTCACTCGAATGTTTCCATTTATATATAATAATCTGAAATAAATATATTAAATTAAACCTTTTTTTATTTCTTATCGACAAAATCCTATGTAAGACGAAATATATATACAGTTTATATAACGACATATAATATATGCATATCATAATCTTACATTAAATCGGACTTTCATAATCTTCGAATAAATTTCATGATATACATTATCCGTATTTTAATATTTTATACGTGCAAATATTAATGCGCAAATATACATGCGTATGCAGTGACAGCAAGAAGTACTCATATAACAAAGTTTTTATAAAAAAAAGTTTATTCGCCGAATATCAATATTAATATTAAGTTTTATACAATGAATACGTTTTGCTCTAACATAAGCAAACGAGATTTGCACGACATCCTGTTTTAGAAGCTAATTTTCTCCACTGTACGTATAATTTCCGTGCATGCAAATAACGCCATTTTTAATTTTCACTTATTTTAGAGATAATATAATTTATTTAAATATTAGTAGTGGGATGTAGAGCGAACACCTAGACACCCATTTCCCCAATAGCGAATACCTAGACACCCACTTCCTCGACGACAAACATCTAGACGCTTAATTCCTCGACGGCGAACACCTAGACACTTAATTCCTGAATATCTATACACCCTCTTCCTCGACGCGGTAAATACCTAGATCTTCAACGACAATCTCGATACGATATTTCATTTTAATTATAATTAATATTTTATTTTAATTCATTTTATTAATTATATTTCATTTTAATTTCAATTAATTATAATAATGCGCCGCGTGCACGTCACATCGTATATGTGACAATGTTGCCATCGCTGATTATCACAGCCGTCATGTGTGGTTGATCACGTTCGAATGTGCAATGCTGCCATCGCTAGGTTAAGTCAAAAGCCCTCTATTGTCGAAAAAACGAGATGGACATTTTCTCCTGGTCGACGATGACAATAATAATAATGACGACGACATTTCTTAAAATTATAATAGAAATAAAAAAATCCGGACTTCGCGTTGCGATATCTCCGCTCGTAGGGCACGTATAGAAAAAAAATAAAAGCACTTTTGTGATACAATCCGTGTGGTGGCTATCGATTGATCATACATAGAACGCGATCGGTTTAGCCGTTATTGAGATCCGATAATCTCGATCTGCCGCAACTCGTCGGTTCGCATAAAGGAGGCACGGCAGTGTCGCTTCGCGCAGCTTAGCGCCGAGACACTACCAGTGTCTCCAGATTACGTCTTCTTTCTACAAAGTGTAATCATGAAAGATGCCGATAAAGAGAATATCGACATTCATCAAGTTTTTTTTTGTAACAGAAGCGAACTTTATTTTATCTCGGACAACGATTTTCCATATTCCTATAACAAAACTCTATTCTCACGGGTGATAAATCGCGAAAGTAGTTGGGGACTTTTAGGTGTGCAGAAATGTCGGGCAAACAGATAAATCTTGTCAGAGTTGCCCTTTCTTTCTCTGTCATCCAAGATTATATTTTTAAAGCAGGAAAAAATACAGCTGCGAATAACTGCGCGATTCTAATATTCTTAAGCGCAACGGAAGCCGGATCTATATTTTTCCAGAAAATGGTCCTTATCTTTTACAGTCAGAAGAATTTTTTAATTTTGTTATTCTTTTAATTTCTTCTCACTAAACTCATCGAGAATTATTAACCTACATAAAACAGACCTCTAAAGCATGTTCTAAGAATATCTAGAAGATATTCCTGCCTTTTAAAAACGTTTCTAAAATGTTCCTGAAATAAAGTAATTTTATGTGGCAACCTAGCATTCATAATCAAAAAAATAAAAGATCAATTAATTGCAATTTTCAAAACAAAATATTATCTAATATTGGATTTTATTATGTTTAATAAAATAATAAAAAAATTATCAATTGTAAGATTTGTAGATTCAATCAAGTTTTGATAAAAAATCTTCATGTTGCGTTAATAATAATAATAATAATAATAATAATAATAATAAAATCCGAATTTTATAGTTATTTTATTTAGTTTTTTGTTTGTTTTAACCCACGATCAACTTTTATAAAAAGCGGGTAATATTCCAGTCCCTTCCTATAATTAGTTTTTTATGTCAGATAACATGGTCGCGCCATTAAAGAGCTGTCAGCATACGTACGACCGGACAAGACTAACGGTAAGAGAAAGAGAGATGACCCGACAGAAAAAGAAAGTGCAAGAGCCATTTCTCTTGTAAGGGGACGTTACCACGGATACGTGCAGCGACGAAAGCAAGAGAGTGCACCTACTCTAAAGTGTAACGTGTAACGTCGATGGAAACTTAATCTGTAATCGAACCGCTCATCGCTCTGATGCTTGCTATGAATATGAGGGAGCTCGGTGAGGTGACAGTCATTTTAAATTATTCAATAAAATCTAAAAATGCACTAAAAACTTGCGATTTTTAGGGGCTTTTAAAACTCCAAGCAAAAAACTTCTTATTACATCGTATTACTCTCTCTATATGTATAATAGAAATAAAAAAATCTTTTTAAAAATAAATGGTTATATTCAGAGTAAAAAATTAGATATTTATATTTTATTAAATATATTAATATTATAAGTATAAATTATTATATTGTTAAAATTAAGTAAAATTTATATTTATAGAGTTAGTTTCACATTTATTTCAATTTGTTAACTTTAATTTCTATATACATTTCTTCACGATTATTATATATTTTACGTGAATATTTTTTAGTTCACTTCGATTTATTTTCCGATCTTATTAAGCAACCTTTATATTTTCAGCTGTATTTATATAAAAAAAAGTATCTGCAGGTTTGAAAAGTAATTTGGCTGAAAATCGATTTCTATCAGCAATAAACGCATTCATAAAAAAGATGGATCCGTTAGAGAAAGCCCGTAGTATACTTAATTGCCAATTTCCAGTCGATTTAATCCAAATCGACGACTTAACACACATTCGTGGCTGGCGCGCGATGTACGCATTAATTATTCCTAGCAGACCTATTCTGCTTGATTGCACCATTTACATTGATTGAGATAATCACACAATACAAAATGTGTGAGTGAAGTTTCTAATTCATCAGCAAAAATTTTATATTTTTCAGATCTATACGATTATATGAAGCTTTCATAATTCTTAATGGATATTTTCAATTGTTTATGATATGTTATATAAACACATATATATAAATGGAATCCTCTCGTTCGACTATTTCACGGAAAATTGAGATCTTCGACCAACGCAGCTATTTCTGTTTATATAAAAGTCAACGAGAGCTCAACAATATTGGAAGAAACATGAAGAACGTTTGCAATCTCGAAAACATATCATTGATCTAGCGAGATGATTGAGAGAAGTTATAGGAGAGAAAGAGGGAAAAAA